GTGTGCGTTCCGCCAGAAGGCACAGTCGAACCTTCCGGGCACGCGAATTCGTGGCGAAAACGGAGAGTAGACAATACGCGAATCCATATTAAAGAAACTGATTTTCCAGCTAGATTTTCTCAGTAAGGTTGAAAACCGCCAAACAGCCGAATTGACAAGCATGAACGGTCGCAAGACACTTAAAATATAGTAGCAGTCGATATCGAACACTCGAAACGATACGTGTGTTAACGACACAACCAAGTAGCACCTGAGTGTCTAGTGGCGAGTTCGGAAAAAATCCGAACCCTAACGAACATGTAAATTCGGAGGATTACAGTTTTTATTAAAACTGACTTCTTTCAATAACCTTCTCCTTTGCGGAAAAGTTCCGACAATAATCCAGCCGGTCATCGCCGGAGCAAGAATGCTAGCGCTACGAAAGAAATTAACCGATGTCAGACCGATAGCCGTAGGAGACACTTTTAGGAGACTTGCTGCGAAAACCGGATGCGAAGCAATAACAGCAAAAGCAAAGTCTCTTTTCGTGAACCTCCAACTAGGCTGCATCACCCCGCCTGGAGCCGAGGCAGCAGCTCATGAAACTCGAGCGTTCTGCTGCACGGCTACCGAACAAGAAGGGTTAGTGAAACTGGACTTTGCTAATGCCTTCAACGCTATCAGAAGGGACAAAACTGCAGAATCCATTAACCGAGAAATACCAGAACTTTTTCCATTCTTCAAACTGTGCTACTCGGAAGACAGCATCCTATCGTTCGGCGATTTCTCTGTACCATCGTTTGAAGGGCGGCAACAAGGACTCGACAATCCACCCCGGTTTAGCTCGACAATCCAACCCGGCTTAGACGCCATAAAAACCCGCTTCAAGCAAGGGTACCTGGACGACATATCAAGGGGAGACAACTACAGAGTTGTTCTGACCGAACTGCGGGCGTTCATCAAGTTCGCAACGTCCCTAGGACTCTCACTAAACGCCAATAAAAGCGAGCTGACCATTTTGGGAACCAACACCAGCCTCAGTGATGACATCATGGCGAGTTCAACGATCTAATACCATGCATTACCGTCACGAAATTAAGCGACCTAGAGATGCTGGGAGCACCGATTGGCCAAGAAGCGCTGGACCGCGTGTTGAACGAGAAACTGATTTCTCTGAATACACTATGCAAATGAGTGGAATATGTAGACGCCCACGAAGCATTTTACCTCATCAAAAAGTGTGTTTATTCCGAAACTGCTCTATACTCTTCGCACCGCGCCAATGGTATCACTCTCTGCCTGATCTGGGACTTCACGTGCGTCAACCGCCTTGCCATGTCTAATGTTGCCCGAGGAACCTTTCCAGGTCCGACAATAGCAGACAAAGCAGTAGAAGCAAAGCGAATGAAGTACGAGAGCCTGACCAGAAACTACATTTTCCAACCTGTTGCAGTCAAGCACCTCGGCGACCTCGGAACCGACACCGACGACTTCCTGAAACAGCTTTGCCGCCAAATTATCGCGGAAACCAATGACAAAAGAGCCGGGACTTTCCTCAGATAGCGGCTGTCGTTAGCCGTCCAGATTGGCATTGCAGCCATTGTGAGAGAGTCGATAGAGCGTGCCAATAAAGCAAACGTCCCAGACCCCTGAACAACCCCATTGTCACGAATCACTCCATTCTCGAACTCATTCTTACCTCAATTCCAAGGCCACATATCAACGCCAGACTCCTTGATCATTCCAGACTTTACAAAATTCCCTGCCATTTGAACTGGCATTTTATAGTCTTCTGGTAATCTACCATTTTTGCTTTAATTGCATGACGCACACTTGTGCATCATGCTTTTCTCTTCTTTTAATTGATTTTTTAAAATCAAATCGAATGATATTACATTTCTTTTATTAAATTCTAACCCTTTTAGTTTTAAGCTATAATAAAAACGTTATATTCAAAGGAAAACAGTGACGTATTCAAAAGTTTTTTTTAGCCTTTATACAGAAATATGCGTTTTGTTTATTATGTCTCTAGCTCTTGATGATTGTAGCTACCAGTTCGCTTTTTCACAGACTGCAAGACCTCAAAAAATACTCGAACAGAAAAAACTCTGTCCTCGGCCTCTTCGAATCTGTTGTGCAGCAAAAGTTGGGAAACGAAAAATCACCAATCCGACTGAATAAAACTAGTGATTCGCAAAGAGTGTAAATTATTTCATGAGTTATAGATAGAAGTCAATTGATTTTTGTTAAATGCGGTTTTAAATAAGTAAATCAGTTCAATTGTAGATTTAGTTCAAGTAGAAAGCTGAGATGTCTTTTTTAGGCTTCAACATTCCGCCTCCCTTGAAGTGTCTTCAATTTTCAGATCGTTATTATGTCTGGATATGACTACCCATTTACAGTGTATGAGACGAAGGAGAGGAAGAGTAGCATTTATTGCATTGTATCATAGTAGTAGAGTATAGCGGGTGTGCATCAATTGTTTGTTTTGTTTTAGAAGCAACTTAGAGGTCTTAAACGTATTAGTGACCTCAGCGTAGAAGGGTCATTGTGCACTGGCTGGGAGGTTGGAGTTAACTGTCGAGAGACTCCTAGTGTGACAGCTAAGGGTGTTTTTGGCGTCACGTCTGGAGGTCAGACCAGATGGCCGAAGTGGGTCTTTTCTTCTCTTCTCCAAGGTATTTTTGTAGAGTCCTCGTCCTTCCGGACTTTCCATCAAGACTTGGATGAGGAAGATGATGCTGTTTTGTGTCTTCTGGGGGGCCGAAAGTTGTAGCTGATGACATCTGAAGTTAATCTCTCTGGTGAACTTGAGCGCCTGGCCGGTAGCAATGATTCGGAGATGGGGTTCACTGATACTGCTAAGTATCTGAGGAACCTTGGTTCTCAGCAGAAGAAACTGGTCCGCTATGGTGTTCTTGAGAAGGGGAAAAGTTTGTATCTTCCATATGCGTGGTGCCATGCAGTTCTGACTCTCTGCGACGAAGAGAGGGTCTGCTGCATGTACTATGCGGAGATGCAAACTCGACTTTCCTTGGTAGCATCTGCGTGGAAGCACTGCCAGCCACACTGCAGGGTCAACAAGCGAAGAGGACCAGATGACAGCGAATCGCATGACAGCGAATGACTGTTCAACGGTAATTATGTAAGCAATTATTCAATAAATGAACTAAATGTGACTGCACCATAAGTAAGGAGTATACAAGTGAAGTATTAACGGTACGAGTCATGAGCGAAAGTTTGTCCTAGCTGTTTTCAGACAATAATTACATTTTGGGTCATGAGGGTACAACGCATACGAATTTTAATTCTGGGAATTTACAACATTGGGAATTTACATGAAAGTGGTTAATATGAACGATTCAGACTATACTGCATTGCATAGGGGGTAATTTTGGTTCCTACTTTCAAAAGGGTCATGGGGGTACTACCACTTAAAATTTGAAAACTGCACATTTTTGATATTTTTCGATTTTTAGCACTATAAAGTTCTTGTTTTAAATGAACTGCACATTGGATATGACTTGGTTGCTATACTGGTAGCTTCCGCAGCTTCGCGACCGGGCGTATGTATTCACCAGTTGTGGTCTTCACTTTTACCACTCGAACAATCGAGTCATTTCCAGGATAAACTTCTATGATTCGTCCAGTTTTCCATTCTAGCGTTCGTTCATTGTCTTCGGCAAGTAGGACTAGGTTGCCAACTTTAAATTCTGGGCCATCCGTGAACCATTTTTTCCGTATTTGTAGCATTATGAGGTAATCTCTTTTCCAAACTTTCCAGAAATCCTTGATCATATTCTGTAATAGTCGATATCGTACATTGGTTGAAACTTGGATGTCAGCAGAGGGAAGAGCAATGATTCCGCTATCAGAAAATGAGCGGGTGTCAGCGGAGTTGGGTTGTTAGGATCACTTGACATTGGATACATTGCTCGTGAGTTTAAGACAGCTTCAGTTTGATTAAGAATTGTAAGAAATTCTTCAAAACTGAGACGTTGCAGTCCTAAAACTTTTCGCATATGTCTCTTCATACTTTTTACAGCTGCTTCCCAGAGTCCTCCGAAGTGAGGAGCACGGGGAGGGATGGTGACCCATTCAGTTCCTTGGCCATTGACGAAACTAACAACTGATTTGTCCGTTCCATTTTTGTCGAGCAGTTCCTTGATTTTGATCAGATCATTTCGAGCCCCGATAAAATTGCTTCCATTGTCACTTAAGATCTTCTCAGGTTTGCCACGGCGTGCAGTAAATCGTTTCAATGAAAGGATGCATGCTTCTTTGGTTAGACGAGTAACCATTTCCAAATGAATAGCCTTTGTCGCGAGACAAACAAAGACGGCAACATAAATTTTTGAGACCCCTGCTTCCTTAATTTCAAAGGGACCAGCAAAGTCTATTCCACATTGAGCAAATGGTTTTGCGGGTGTTATTCTTTCTGTAGGAAGATCAGCCATGAATTGAGTAGTAGGTTGCTGACTAAATCGGACACATCTCATGCATCTTCTAATGAACTGTCGAACTAGATCACGGCCTCCGATTATCCAAATTTCCTCACTCATTGTGTTCAGTACTAATTGCCCCCCACCATGAAGAGTAACTTCATGATATTTGCGTATAAGTAGGGATTTTAAATCAGATTTTTTTGAAACGAGTATTGGAAACTTCTTGTCTGTTGGGTAGTTCGATTGTGAAAGTCTGCCTCCAACTCTTAGTAGATCGTAATCCTTGTCAAAAAACGGACTAAGATTGAGTAGTTTCGATGTTTTACTCAGCTCCCTTTTCACCTTCAGACAATTTAGCTCTGATTTGAAGTGTATTTCTTGGTCTAAACGAAGAATTAGCATTTTTGCCATGATTCTATTTTTAGGACTAAGACAATCTTCTTCAAGTTGTACATCAGATGTCCGCTTAGATCTGAGCCGCTTCCGATAGTTTGTCGATATTCTATGCTTAAGATGTTGAACAAATGATAGTACATAGCATGCGATGCGTACTGTCTTGTTCCAAGTGCTGTAGTCCTATAAACGAAAAATTCCATCCGTCATTTCTTCGTTTTGAGCATGATTTGCGAGAACAGTTCGAATTTGTTCACTTTCTGCATTAGTCTTGGCTTTGACGGTTCGTTTTTCAGGTGCTTCAACTAGAGATGGTAGTAGGTTGGGCCAGTGCCTTTCATCCTTGGTCAGCCAATCTGGTCCATTCCACCAGAGTGAGGAAGATATTAATGTGTCAGCTAATACACCACGAGAGGCTAAATCAGCTGGATTTACTGCTGTTGGCACGTGTTTCCAATCACTTCTGGGTAGGGTCTCTTGTATTTGTGAAACTCTGTTTGCAACAAAAGTGTTCCACGTTCGTGGAAGTTGAGCAAGCCATTGCAAGACAATTGTTGAATCAGTCCAGGCGTGTGAAGTTATCTTGAGATTTGTTTTCCTCAAAATTGAATGAACTGATTTAAGAAGTTTGGTAGCTAAACTTGCACCGCAGAGCTCTAATTTGGGAACAGAGATTGCTTTGACCGGAGCAACCTTTGTTTTGGAGGTCAGTAGATACGCAAAAGTTTTGCCATCATCATTGGTAATTCTTGCATAGATTGCGGCTGCATATGCTTTTTCGGAAGCATCACAGAATACGTGAAGTTGAACCTCCTTTATTGGATGTGAGATCATAGATCTTGGTATCTGTAGTTCCAGTAGTTGAGGCAAAGTTCCGGTGAGCTCATACCATTTTTCCTTGGTTTTCTGATCGACTTCAGAATCCCAATCAAAACCTTGGACCCATAGCTGTTGCATGAGACATTTGAAATTGATGATGAATGGAGCTAGCCATCCCATCGGATCAAACAATTTTGAAATTGTGGACAGAAGAGTCCTCTTTGTAAGCAGTTTCAGCTCTGGTAAGGCAGTTGAAAAACAAGAGATGTCCTTATTGGGCTTCCAACTGACTCCTAGCGCCTTGATTTTGTATTCGTCAGAGAAAAGTTCCAGCACATCCGATTTTTCGCGGAGATGTTCTGGCAATCCTTCAATTATTTTAGCATTACTTGAAGTCCACTTTCGTAGAGGGAATTCATGAGAGTTCAGCTCTTCGCATAAATCAGAGATGAGTCTTTCTGCTTCATGCTTATCATTAGCGCCACCAAGAAAGTCGTCTACATAGAAACAATTTTTGAGACTTTCTTTGATCATTGGGTTCTTAGATTGATCTGCTACTTCATTGAGGCATCTTGTTGAGTAAAAAGCTGACAAAGCTATTCCATATGTAACACGTGTCATCCTGAGATGCTTGATTTCATCCGATTTATTTAATCTCCAAAGTATGCGATGGAAATCCTTCGATTTGTCCTCTAGAGCAACTTGTCGGTACATTTTTGCAATATCTGCTGATAAAGCAATTGGGTAGAACCTGAAGCGCATGATTATCGAGTAGAGGTCGTCTTGTACCGTGGGACCAACCATCAAAGTGTCGTTGAGTGATTGACCGGTTGATGTTGTTGCAGATCCGTCGAAAACTACACGTAGCTTTGTGGTAGTAGAATCTTCCTTGAAAACGCAGTGATGTGGCAGATAATATACGCTATTAACTGGCTTTTCGATCTCTCCAGGCGGTATGTACTCCATATGCCCCATATCGAGAAATTCGTCTATGAATGCGGTATAGTGATCTTTTAGTTCTGGATTCTGTTCCAGTCGTCGCTCGAGATAATTGAATCTGCGTTTTGCTTGTGCTAAACTGTCGCCAACTGACTATTGGGCTTGAAAGGCAGCTGCACGGTGAATCGTCCATTTTGTAGTATGGTTGTTTCCTTAAAGTGAGATTCACATCGATCTTCTTCTGTTGTTGTCTTTTTGAAATCAGGAATTTCTTCTTATTCCCAAAATTTCCTTAGACTATCGTAAATAGACACATGAAATGACTTGAAGAAGGTTGTTGGAGGACCGGGTGTTCTGCCGCTAATCATCCAACCAAATAGAGTGTCACGTGCATAAAGCTTGTCTGTAAGCTTAATCTTTTCGCAGCCAACAATGTCGTTGTAGACATCACAGCCTAGGATTATATCGATTTCCTTTGGTTTATCAAAGTCTGGGTCCGAGAGCTTAAGATGTGTGATATCCAAACTGTTCGGTATATTCACCCGTTCTCTGGGCAGGTAGCCAGAAAGTTTTTGAAGAGTGAAAGCTTCAATATGTAGAGATTGATTCTGAGAATCCTTTGTTTCCAGATTGACAGAACCAGATTTCACAGTTTTTGCTCCTCCGCCAACTGGAGTTTGCTCCTCCGCCAATTGAAGAGTCAATTTCTTGTTTGGTAGCTTGAGTCGGTTAGCACAGCTGGTTGTAACGAAACTGCATTCAGATCCGCTGTCCAGTAAGGCTCGACAATTGTGATAACCGCCATTTGCAGTTTTCACCTCATTTAGTACAATTCCCAGTATGGTAGTGGAACCGGTAGTACCCCCGTGAACCGCAAATTTTTTTCAGGTCCCGGTTGCTTGTTTGGGTCTGCAGGATGTGAAGTAACGAGTGATGACCCTTTCGACAGGTTTTGCACGTTGACTTCGACTTGCACTCATGATTTTGGTGTCCAAGGGACAGGCAAATGAAGCATAATCGCTTTGATTTGGCTTCTTGTCTTCTATTGGAAATAGACATTTCCTGAAATTTTGTGCATTGATACACGCGGTGATCACCACTGCAGCATGGGCAGATGATCGTCTTAACAGAGTTTGTGTGGTATGTCTGTACTTTGTCATCTTTCTTAGAGTTTCCAGATTGGTCTGAATTTCCTTGATGATTTTTCTATGAATTGAAGCTAACTGGAGGTCCTTCGTAACTTCTAGGGCGCGAGATCGTTCCTCCAAGAACTTCTTCATCTGTTTGATTTTTGGCACGTCACTTTCCGCGCAGGAAAGTTCCCATTGTCTTCTAGTTTCAGAATCTAATTTCTTGGCCAAAACGTGAACCCAGATCAAATCGCATTGATCAAATTTTAGTCCAAGTCCTGTCAGTGCCATCGTGTTTTCCGTGTAGTTATTAATCAAGCGACGTATTGCAGCGGATGACTCCTGCTTCATTGGAGTGAATTCAAAAACTGCTTCCAAGTGAGCGTGTGAGATCATCTTGACATCAGCGTATCGATCCTTTAGAAGTTCCCTTGCGACTGAGTAGTTCGCGTTTGTAGTAGGCAAGTGGGATAGCAAACGAAACGGTTCATCCTTGAGGGCACCCTTTAGGTATTGCAGTTTCTGAACATCAGACAGCGATGCATTTGAGTGAAATGCTCCATCAAAGGAATCTAAGAAAGGTAGCAATTGATCATACCTTCCTTCCGCTAAATGTTGGCTAATTCAGTTTCGGCAACTTCAGGCAAGTATCTTGGTTTCGGCCAGCACCACGTTGGGAAGTGGATTTGTAGGATCCTGTTCCGTTTACGCTGTCGTCATCTTTGTCCGATTCAGTTGAGTATTTTCCTCGGTCATCTAACATAGTTGTGATCATTTCCATCAAACAATCTATTTGAAGGTAGATTTTCTCAGCTTCTTCCAATTCAACTTCAAGTGCATCTTCATCATCGTTTAGAACATTTGAAATTTGCTGATTTAGCTCTTCCAGTTCCTTTTTCTTTCGTTCGCACATCGTGAGATTGGCCTTGAGAGTTCCAATTTCCTTGTAGGTTAGAGCAGATGCCTCTTTGTTGAAGATTGCTGAGACGGCATTTTCCGATCGGGTAATGACACCGGTGTTAGCACTTCTTGATCGCTTCAAAGCAGGAAGAGTGAGCGTCACGTTGCTCATGTCACTAGCAGGTGATGACATTTTTAACTTTCCTCTTTGTTTCTAATCTTTGGTTCGTTCGTGAGTCGCGTTGCACCAAAAATGTTGTGCAGCAAAAGTTGGGAAACGAAAAATCACCAATCCGACTGAATAAAACTAGTGATTGGCAAAGAGTGTAAATTATTTCATGAGTTATAGATAGAAGTCAATTGATTTTTGTTAAATGCGGTTTTAAATAAGTAAATCAGTTCAATCGTAGATTTAGTTCAAGAAGAAAGCTGAGATGTCTTTTTTTAGGCTTCAACAGAATCCACATGCAATGAAGATGGCAAAAACATTCCAGTCTTACGGAAAAACAATCTCTTGCCAGTAAGCAGATTAACCTGTGGTACAACTCAGCGCAAAAACAAGTATAATTCCTAGCGAGCTGATGCCGTATCAGCAAATCAAGCGGCAACAATTAAAGGCGACTTTCTACTTAATGAGAACGGACACTTCCGATATATTTGAAGGTCTGCGGAAAACAGATATCATTGTCATCAAGAGAACAAGTAATCTTGTCTCCAGAAACAAAAGACATAATCCGCCAATCCTCATGGATTATTTAGAACTATATCAATCAAACAATGTGGAACTGAAATCAGTGCCTGAAGTATTATCAAGGCGTACGATAAAACCCTGCGCGAGGCGAACCTGCTACCAGTATCATTATATCTGCAACTGGTTGACCTTCTTTTCCTCTCTAACATCCTCGACGGCCGTTACGATATTGATGCGACACGTTTTATTCAAATGAGCCTAAACACACGACATACACGTGCTAGAGACAGTTCGACATACCCAGGAAGAAGCTTTTAGATCATAACTTTTGGTTTAGGTCGCCCTCCCTGGCCAACCGCCTTCCTCAGCGCGTACAGTTCTTCAAGCCGGTTGCACTCAAGTCTCGGCTGCTTAAGTACTTCTGGTCCCACTTCCAGTCCGACTACCTATGGATGGACTCAGCTACCAGGAGACTATAGGAGGAAACTCCTTTACGTTTTATAACGTATAAATTCTTATTATATACGTAAGTTCCCATTGTCTTCTAGTTTCAGAATCTAATTTCTTGGCCAAAACGTGAACCCAGATCAAATCGCATTGATCAAATTTTAGTCCAAGTCCTGTCAGTGCCATCGTGTTTTCCGTGTAGTTATTAATCAAGCGACGTATTACAGCGGATGACTCCTGCTTCATTGGAGTGAATTCAAAAACTGCTTCCAAGTGAGCGTGTGAGATCATCTTGACATCAGCGTATCGATCCTTTAGAAGTTCCCTTGCGACTGAGTAGTTCGCGTTTGTAGTAGGCAAGTGGGATAGCAAACGAAACGGTTCATCCTTGAGGGCACCCTTTAGGTATTGCAGTTTCTGAACATCAGACAGCGATGCATTTGAGTAAAATGCTCCATCAAAGGAATCTAAGAAAGGTAGCAATTGATCATACCTTCCTTCCGCTAAATGTTGGCTAATTCAGTTTCGGCAACTTCAGGCAAGTATCTTGGTTTCGGCCAGCACCACGTTGGGAAGTGGATTTGTAGGATCCTGTTCCGTTTACGCTGTCGTCATCTTTGTCCGATTCAGTTGAGTATTTTCCTCGGTCATCTAACATAGTTGTGATCATTTCCATCAAACAATCTATTTGAAGGTAGATTTTCTCAGCTTCTTCCAATTCAACTTCAAGTGCATCTTCATCATCGTTTAGAACATTTGAAATTTGCTGATTTAGCTCTTCCAGTTCCTTTTTCTTTCGTTCGCACATCGTGAGATTGGCCTTGAGAGTTCCAATTTCCTTGTAGGTTAGAGCAGATGCCTCTTTGTTGAAGATTGCTGAGACGGCATTTTCCGATCGGGTAATGACACCGGTGTTAGCACTTCTTGATCGCTTCAAAGCAGGAAGAGTGAGCGTCACGTTGCTCATGTCACTAGCAGGTGATGACATTTTTAACTTTCCTCTTTGTTTCTAATCTTTGGTTCGTTCGTGAGTCGCGTTGCACCAAAAATGTTGTGCAGCAAAAGTTGGGAAACGAAAAATCACCAATCCGACTGAATAAAACTAGTGATTGGCAAAGAGTGTAGATTGGCAAATTATTTCATGAGTTATAGATAGAAGTCAATTGATTTTTGTTAAATGCGGTTTTAAATAAGTAAATCAGTTCAATCGTAGATTTAGTTCAAGAAGAAAGCTGAGATGTCTTTTTTAGGCTTCAACAGAATCCACATGCAATGAAGATGGCAAAAACATTCCAGTCTTACGGAAAAACAATCTCTTGCCAGTAAGCAGATTAACCTGTGGTACAACTCAGCGCAAAAACAAGTATAATTCCTAGCGAGCTGATGCCGTATCAGCAAATCAAGCGGCAACAATTAAAGGCGACTTTCTACTTAATGAGAACGGACACTTCCGATATATTTGAAGGTCTGCGGAAAACAGATATCATTGTCATCAAGAGAACAAGTAATCTTGTCTCCAGAAACAAAAGACATAATCCGCCAATCCTCATGGATTATTTAGAACTATATCAATCAAACAATGTGGAACTGAAATCAGTGCCTGAAGTATTATCAAGGCGTACGATAAAACCCTGCGCGAGGCGAACCTGCTACCAGTATCATTATATCTGCAACTGGTTGACCTTCTTTTCCTCTCTAACATCCTCGACGGCCGTTACGATATTGATGCGACACGTTTTATTCAAATGAGCGTAAACACACGACATACACGTGCTAGAGACAGTTCGACATACCCAGGAAGAAGCTTTTAGATCATAACTTTTGGTTTAGGGCGCCCTCCCTGGCCAACCGCCTTCCTCAGCGCGTAC